TTAGTAACCTACTGAAAGCATACAATGTCTGGCGAGTGAACAAATTCGACACATGACATGCGCATCAAGGACTCCTTTGGGATAGTCAACAGAAAGTGAGCTTCTCGGAGGGTGGTTGTTGCACCTCTTATACATGTGGCTAAAAATAAGTCACAGTTAATTATAAATAACTTCTAGAGACTTTATTAAATTATCTTATTCCTAATGAGTATTCGCAAACCCTTGACGTCCTTTCAGACGAAACTAAAATTGTTGCTTGATAGAGATTGGACAGGAAAGAGTAAACGGTCTAAAATTTTCACGATAATCAATTAATATTCATAAAAATATATGTTTAATCCTCTACTGAGTCAAGTCCGATATCGATTCCACGGTAATACGAATAAACAGGTTCGAAAAATGCTCAAAAAGCTACATTATATGGGTAATGAAATACGATATCTCTTTTGTTGATTCCTTCCGGATGCCTTTTTGAAGGAATTTTCTTTATCAGGTAGAATTAGTCATGTCTAACCTTTTTTTTTTGAATGAGTGAAAATATCATTTTCTTATCATTTGCAAAATAGCCTTTCAGATGAAGGAAGATTTACAACTTAATACAATCAGATTAGTGTTGCCACAAATAAGGTTATCAACACCAACTAGTGACAAAACCCCAAAGATTTTTTTCACTTATCCAGTTAATTGATTAATAGAATACATATTCTAGTGTTCACTAAACAGTCTCCTAAATGTAGGCAATGTTTTGCTTTACTTCCTTTTTTAAAGAAGCGTAGCCTACATTTAGGTGCATTGCCAATTTTTATCACTTCGGAAAGGTTAATCTTAAAACATTCATCACTATTACATAAAAATTGAAATTATACATATTTGCGTATTTTTAGTTTTTTTCTAATTTTTCTTTCAAACCACCCTTTATTTGCCTATAATTAAACCCACAAGTACACACTATAAAAACTAAAACTTTGGCATGAAACTGAAGTACCACTTTATACATACATACAATGAACGTAAGCAAACACTTCAACAAATTGGCAATAATTCAAACAATTATTCAATATAAATCGGAGTGGTGTTGGAAATTCATACATATTTATGCCAAATCAAGGAAATGAAGAAAAAGTGTGAAACCACTGTAAGGAAATGGGTGTGTCTTTTTACACCCATTTCCATTATGCATTACAACAACTTAACTTGTGCTAAATCATCAGAAATTTTCAACAAACCAAAGAAAAATCGAGTCATTCAAAGACAAATAGATTTTCCGCATAACAATTCAAATTATATTTGAAAATTCATAAATTTGTCTACTCCTTCATTTTACTGGCCACGCCACGGCGTGAGTATTGACCAGTAGCAGGTGACTGTCTACAAGTCTGTTTGCATTTGCTGCTTGTCAAGTACTCAGACGCTTTAATAGCCAACACAGTTGCTGTCAGTTACTCATTGCATACAAACACATTCTACACACACACACAAAAATACCGACTTATAATTTAAGAGGAAATATTTATATATGTATATCTGGCTGCTGCATAAATTACTTTACTTTGGCGGAAGCAACAAATCAACAAAGCTTTTACATTAAATTTCACAGACTTTTGTTAAATAATTTGCTTGCTAATGAGCTCTCTAGCTCACGAATGCGATAGCTGGTGCAGCTTTGATTTCATTCATTCGTATATATACTTCTAGCATAATAAATTGCGCTAAATTTATTTTGTTTGTTAATGGAAATTATTGTAAATTACAATATAAATGCTTTAGTCATCTCAAATTACTTTGAGTTTCAGCGCATAATAAGCGCTTTTGTGTTCTTCATACTTTCTCGAGCGGGTGAGATACTTGTTGAGAGCGGTGTTGGAATGTATTAAGCTCTTACAAAAATTGTATGCTTGAGGAGAGCTTTGAGGAAAGAAAAAAAATATTAAGACTTTCTATTTTCGAGTCATATTGTGATGAATGTGATCTAAATTGGTAAAAAATTAAGTAAAGAAATATAAAATAATTTAAAAAAAAAGTTATTTAAAAAAAAAACAATATAAAGAATAATAAAATAACAAAATATATAATTCTACTATTTTTAATGATTTCATTTTAGTTTAGAACATTTTAAATATTCATTTAATTTTTTTTTTAAATTAGACTTTAGAATAAATGATCGATAAACATATTTTTATAATAAGTTTTAATTGAAAAAATTGTTTCTGTAAATTTAATTAGTAAAAATATAGAGTATTTACTTTAATATTTATTATAATTTCAATCAAATATTTTGAAAAAACTAACTTAAATTGGAAACTTCGGAAAGAAAGCTTTCGCGGAAAAAGTCCACTTTTCACTAATTTTTGGCAATTTTTTTTAAGTGAGTATGCAAATATTATTATTATTATTATTGGACGTTGAAATTATTACTTTAAAAAATTATTGCCAAAAACTGGCAGATTTAGAGTGAGTGCTCTGAAAATTCTTCCTTTTTTGAAATGAGCTTTTAACTGGAAAAATTATTTTGGTACGTTTCTGGAATAGTATTCAGCATATGTAAGAATTGAAATGTTCAAAAATATATAAAATATTATTTTAAAATGTTTTTGTACCTACAATTTCACCAAAAAATAAATCTTTCTGTGAAGTCTTGACTTTTTTTAAGTGAGTCTGTGATTAAATTGGTAAAACTGCACCGGAATTCATTATTACTCTAAAAAAAAAAAGTTTGACTAAATATTTCGGCTTAGTTATGAAATCTATGAATAATGAGCGCTTCTTATTCAAATGTGCTTTTACTGAAGCTTTCCTTCAAATGAAATACTAAGTTATATATTTATTATCATATTTATTTGGAAGTCTTGGAATTGAAGCTTTCACTGGAAAAATATTCTTTCTCTACATTTTTGGCTACATATTGTTCAACATATTATTTTTTAGAATAATTTTTATAACTTTAAATTAATTACAAATTCAAAAAAACTACTCCATTCGGCAGCATACCTCTCCTCTTGCTCTAAATCGCCCTTCACAGTTTTTTATGGCCTCGCTGTAACTTATGGAATTGAATGCAGGTTTCGCCTTCCAAACGAGCTAACAAAAGACAACGCTTATTTTTCACTTGGTGCGGGACTGAATTAAAATTGTTCACGAAGAGCATTGTCGAGCTGACCGCTCCCAACGTACTGAGTTTGGTCTCATTGCAAAGTGGAAAAGTCTAGCTACGCCACCGTGTTGCTAATATGATAAATAAAATCCCTCCGGACGGAGATTGCTATAAGTAGAATATTTTTATTTCAAATAAGCTTCAACTGAACTTATTTCCAAAATGATTTTATAGTTACATTAGTTTATAATTAGTTTAAAAGTTTTGCGAAAATGGAAGCTTAGGAATCTCTCGGAGTTAAATCGGACTATCTTGGAGGCCACGTCAAAAGTCATAGCGCGAGATAATGCACTCAGCAAAAGTTTTCTTCCATAAGTTGATGGTTTCGTTGGGCATCTTGTTGGAAACAAAAGTCGTCCATATCAGCATCTACCAATTCTTGCACGAAAAAATCATCACATAAGACTCTGCAGCGTTCCCCATTGACTTTAAAATTATGGCTTGAATCATTTTTCCCGAAATGATTCCCTCTGACCATGGAGCTCTCCAAACAGGATGTAACGAGATAGTTTAGATAAAAAATTAGACAAAATTTTCTGATTGCGTTCGCCCCTCGGGAGGGAATATCAACCCCTCCGTGTGCATTTCTGACATGAAATAAAGCTCCTCATAAAAAAAAAAACAAAAGTGAGTAGGAGTTGGTCTGTTCTTTATGAAAAGGCAAAGCAAACTGTGTATAACTCAAGTAACAACTAACAAGAAGACTAACTGCGAAAAAACCGGAAGGAAGACCTGTGACGACAAATACCGGTCAAATCATGGAATACATCGAGTTAGACCGATCGAGTTAGCATATGGCATCTCGTGACATCACCCAGGAGATGGGAGTTAGTCACCAAACCATTTTGAACCATCTGCAGAAGGCTGGATACAAAAAAAGTTGCCGCATAATTTGACGCAAAAAAACCTTCTGGACCGAATCAACGCCTGCGATATGCTGCTGAAACGGAACGAACTCGACCCATTCTTAAAGCGGATGGTGACTGGCGACGAAAAATGGATCACATACGACAATATCAAGCGAAAACGGTCGTGGTCGAAGGCCGGTGAATCTTCCCAAACAGTGGCCAAGCCGGGATTGACGGCCAGGAAGATTTTGCTGTGTGTTTAGTGGGATTGGAAGGGAATCATCCACTATGAGCTGCTCCCATATGGCCAGACGCTTAATTCTACCATCTACTGCGAACAACTGGATCGCTTGAAGCAGGCGATCGACCAGAAGCGTCCAGAATTGGCCAACAGGAATGGTGTAGTATTCCACCAGGACAACGCCAGACCACACACTTCGTTGATGACTCGTCAGAAGCTACGGGAGCTCGGATGGGAGGTTTTATCGCATCCACCATATAGCCCGGACGTAGCGCCAAGCGATTACCACCTGTTCCTGTCCATGGCGAATGCCCTTGGTGGTGTGAAGTTGAACCCAAAAGAGGCTTGTGAAAAGTGGCTGTACGAATTCTTCGCAAATAAGGAGGGGGGCTTCTACGAGAAGGTATTAGAAGGTATTGAAACAGATCATCGAAAGAGCCACCACAGACGTATTCTAAAATGTTCCAATGCTTTATTTGCGAATTGTCTTCGCTAATATTTTCCCACCACTGTAGCGCAAGAATGTGCTTGAAACATTTTTGAATCCAAAAAAATTATATTTACCCATGATCTTGGCATTAACGTAAAAGTATTTCATTTATTTTTATTTTATGAATTTTTCATTAATAATGTTATAATTAATTATTTCCACCAAAAAATTCACTATGTATGTAATTATTGTTAACTGTTAATTGAATAAGCTCTTATATGTGGCATTCATTAACCTTGTTTCCTTCTACTCCCATACATTTATTTACAGATCACGCCGGCGAACTGGGTTGGGCGTTCACCTTAATCATAGTTTCAATCATATCAGCTCTTATAGGTGCTATTGTAATGGTCATAGTTCTAAGGTGTAGAAGGTGAGTCAAAAAATTAAACACATACAGATTTAACACACATACATGCACATAACAATAGATATAATTTTCTAAAATCAAAAGATATGGACACAGCCAGCCAGCAGTGGCAATGTTACTTAATTAAGCCATTAAAAAAAACAAAAGACTTAAGCGACAAACTCATCGGGATCGGTGCTAGGCGCCGCTATCAAATGAATTAAAGTATAATTGTAACAGTAGAAAAAATTGAGTAGCTGAAGTATATATATATATATATATATATATATATATTATACACAAATATATGTTTGTATATAGGTACTCATACAATGTGTAAATAAACAGTCCACAATGCAAGCAGCCAAGCAGTAAGTCAATTAGTCAGCTGATAGCCACCACAGCGATCACATAACAGCATTAATATCTATGTAGATATGTAAGCAATGCATATGTCGGTATGTGGTAATTATGAATAAAATAAAATTCACACACACAACAACAAAAGCTCTATGCGCATCACTGCCACCGCTGAATGAGTTGTTAATTGGTGCGGCGCGCACGACAGCCAAACGGGAATGCCAGAGAATAACAATAAAAAATTAAAATAAAAAGAAAAAAATATTAAAAAGAAATAAAAACGTTGAATGATGAACTGATGAATGCTTTTAAATTATGAATACTGTGTGTAAATGCTTTTTTTTTTTTTTGAAGTAACAAAAGCATTAAGTATTTGCTTTTGAAATATAAGCTGGCGCTTAGTCATTTAGATGGGCATTAGAGCGCATTTTTATTAAGCGCTTATTAGCTGCTTTATAAAGATTTGATGTTTGGTGTATTTATTAGCTGTAATTTTTTTAACTTTTATTTGTTCATTTTTTTTTTTTTAATTTTTATTATTATTTTTTTTTTCATACCTTTCATGTACGTGAAATTTTGTATCAGCTTTAGTACAAAATATACAAGCATCCACAGATGAAGAGATATACGCATTAAAATGTTTACCGAACAGATCAGAGTGACGAGTTGAGTTCATGTTGGCATGTCCATCTGTCAGTCTGTTTGTACACAAATCTCAAGTCACTCAATTTTTGAGATATTTCAGCGAACATTGGTACACAGCTGCATTGCTCATATTTAAACGGTAATTTTTGTGGAAACTGCCCAGATGTGACCTCACAGTTGAAGCATCTTGGCCCCCACTATTTCGCTCTGGTCCGCAAAATTTTCCGCCCAAGAGACCTCAGCCCACTTCTTCAAAGAGCGGAGCATTTAGTAAAGAAAGGTTCTTTTTGTTGTCTGCAACTTTTGTTGTATTACTTCATTGCGGCGTGTCTGCCAAATTAAATATATCCTGTAAAAAGACCTCTAACGGTAGAACACTCTCTTTCTTCAGCTCGATAAGTTCACGTGACCTTATTCCGTTTAATTCTGGCTATATTGTCCTGGTCACGGTACATGCATGGAGACTTTTCCATCTTAAGTTAGCAGCTTTAATGAATAACTCTCGCATATTCGGCATGCTAAATCCCTTCTATGAGGGCGAAAGTGGTCCGCCATCTCATTACTTGGTATGTCACTGTGTCCAGGTACCCATACCAGGTTCAGAGAAAACTGCTTAGACATCACGGCAAATGATCTGAAGTAGTCCTCTACGCTCTAAATTGTACTGTTACAGATTCCAGGGGTCTTAATACAGCCTTACTATCCGAAAAAATGTGGATACGATTAACCGAGAGCACCATTGAGCTGACACAATTGTCAACCTCATGTAAAGACACTAATTTCGCCTAAAAACCCTACAGTGATCCAGTTAGCGGAAGGATTTACAGTTACCAAGATCATTAGCTAATACCACGGATTTACGGCTCTCATACTTTGGTTCGTAAATTTGTCAAAAAAGCATCTAAGTGCGTGAAATTTATTATTCGCAAAACAAATGATGAATCAAAAATTGCTACAGAGATCTCCGACGACTACAAACAGCAACTAAAAGCAAAAAATTTCGTATTCTACAGAAACTACAAAAATGTTGACACTAAAAATCGTTGAAGTCGGAGGACTTCTTCAAACAGCTCCTCCAAGTATTTTTTCAGACATGAGATGTAATATTTAATCTTAAAATTAAATAATCTAAATTTTGGTATGGTCGTGAAAGGTATAAAGATTTCAGCCGAAGACAGCTTTTTTGCTTCATTTTATTTATTTTTTTCTGTCTATTTTCATTTTATTTTTACATCTTTTATTTTCTGATTATATTTCTTTTTTTATTTTTCTTTGGAATGCTGTCATATTAAGTCACGAAAATTTTTAGTGAACGGCATTTTATTTAAAAATCATTCGAAAATACTTTTTAGGCATACAAGAATTTTGGAAAATCGTGAATTTAATTTTTTTATCTAGGTTTATTGTCATTTTAGTGCCTCAATCTCTACTGAATGTGTCTTAATTACATTATACTGATATCTATATAAATATATAGAAAAAAAATCTTTAAAGTAATATTTGAAAAAAAAAAAACAGAAAAATCAAAGTCTCAATTCATTTTCCGCCACATAGTTTGCGAAGTTCATTCAACATGTTTTCAGCACAGCGAACATTCACCCAAGAACATGTATACATATCAAATTTTTATTGCCTCTGTGGGTGTCAAATCCACCTCTTGTATTTCTATTTTTTTTTTTTAACTATTAATGTTGTAATTATTGCTCAATTAAAATGTCAACATGAGCATAAAAACATATTAAAAAGTCAAAATTGTTTTAAATTGCTTGAAGCCTGTCAAATTCTGAGTTGAGTGGTCGCATATTTTTTGTTTTGAAAAATTAAATAGAAATAAATTTTGTAAAAAATAACAAAAGATTTATATACGTATGAAATATATGTACATTTATTGCACCACAGCAATTTTTCATTTTTATTGTATTTATGTATGTATGTATGTACATACAACATTCTCAATGGTTCGACTGTCCATGGGCACCACAAAACATTGCGGCGTTCAAAAATAAGCGCATCGAATGCATTAACATGCAATAAATTTATTTATTTTTTCTCAAAATTTTAAGTTCACCACAAAAATTAATTTCAACATAATATCTAAACAATAATTAAGTAACTGGCTTTTGACTTGGCAAGGCAAATATTTTCAAAGTCATAATATTTACTTATTTGACTATCATCAGAGGCGCAGGTTTTAGGGCTATGTATTAGGGGTATGTTATGAAGTTAATAAGTAAATAATATTCTGAAAAAAAAATCATGTTACGCTGTCTCCTCGCAATCTCATTATATACATATATATCAAATAAAAATTCATTTAATTTTGTTTACATGTAATCGGAAATTTAAATAGGCGATAAAGGGAGATTTATTATTGATAATTTATCAATTACAAAATGAAATAAATATTTCGAGGAAAAAATGAGAATAACACCTTCGAAAATCGAAATTAGCTGGCGCTGACTTGAACAGGACCAAGCTGCCAAACAACAATAATTATCTACAAACATAACGATGTATACATACATACATACATACTCGCTTATTGCATATACGTAAGTCTAGCAAGAACACCCATTATTGAGCACCTACAACAAATTTGTCATGCATGCTTTTTCCACGCTGCAAACAACCATCAAAGTGGCGCTGCAAATTACTGTCGCCTTGACTTGGTAAGCGTGGGACGGGCGACTAGATGATTGGCCATGTCATAGCAGAAAATTGTCAAAGCAATAATTTAATATAAAAAATATTCACTTGAGTACATGACTAAGGAAACATGAATATAGTATAAAAAAATGTGGTATTTGTTGAGAAAAAAAGTTAAAAAAAAACTATTCAAATTTAATTTTTTTTATTTTAAAAACAATTCAATATTTAAACCGTTCAATTTAATTCGTTAGTAAAGCCGATATTAAAAAAAAAAATATAAAAAAGAATTTATAAAAAAATATTTTTTTAAATACAATTTTTAAACCGTTAAATAAGCAAAGATTTAGTAACGCTCCGTTGCGAGTGCAATGAAATCATAGAAAAATCAGGTTTCCACAGTCACCAAAAGTAACAGTGACGAGCAATTATTGTCTTATAGATAGTTTTTTATTTATTAAAAAAAATTACTACACTGAAAATTTTTTTTCTTGATTCTCAACATTTATTTTACTTACTTTTTTTATCAATTTCCTAATTTTACTTTAATTTTACTAATAATGTTTTTGATCAAGAATTCAATGAAAATAAATATTTTTTCGATTTTTTTTTTAATTTTTTTCTATAATTGGTTTTGTAGTTTGGTAGCAGCAAAAATATTTGTAATAAATTTTTTTATGTTTTACTTTAAAAATTAAACTTACAAATTTTTTTCAATGAATTTTTATATATATTTCGGCATTTACAGTGTACATTTTTCTATGCCTCCATCTTGGCCAAGTGTCGCTTGTTGCTTTAATTGCGAATAATGACCAATAAAGTCGTTATACTCAGGCGTAAAATGCTTAATACAGCAGCTTAGCAAATAGCAACAATAACCACCATAACGGTCATAATAAACAACGTTCTTAATTACAATAAAATTAAAAAACTGAATAAATAATTTTCAACAATTGACCGTGCCCACGGGTAGGTAGATCTCAGTTAAATAACCGTTAAAAGTTGTTAGTAAAAAATTTATCGTTGGCTGAGGAGCATTAGAGGGTGTAAAGGCTGGAAAAATATTCGAACTAAACTTCACCTGGGCATATTTTTCATATCTTCGGAAATCGTTTCGCGGCATGGAATGGATAATTTTACTGTGGTATCTGGTATCTCTACACTTTTCTATTCATCCGCCGGTATTCCGTATGTCTAGTTTTCTCAGGCGATTTTCTAGAACTGGCCATTTTTTCAGTATATTGATAGGTTCTACAGGGTCAAGGGTCCAGAATTGGGCTAATTTGAAACTAAAAGAGATTCTACTGGTTTCATGAAAGGTTTTGAAGTTGCAGTTTTCTGGTACACTCTTGGTCTACTGCTAAATTGTCGGT